CTTTGGCTTCGACTATCATTTTTAGCGATCGATGCATGATGGATCTAGTTACGTAGTTAATTACCGACGAAAATCTCTCGTTAATCCATCGCGAAAAGTGATGCTTTTTTTGCTATGTAAATTGGTGATGAAATTATTTTCGTCGTTAAGTTTTCCTTGCTAATTCGTCGCTAATGAGTCTCAAACATCGACTTTTTCTAGTCTAAATAATTGAATAAACCCTAATCCACACTAATGAGTCACTAACTCTGTTGTTAATTTGTCGCTAATTAGAGACGGAATGAAATTTGTCACTAATTGCCAAATTCGTTGTACGAGTAAATAAAAAACACATGGTTATGTCATGTCATGTGCACTTATGGCCAAATAACTTAATAAAGTGAAATGATAAATTACCCTACACTCAAATTAAAACAAAATCAAGACCCATCTACCACTCGCCACCATCTCTTTTGGCTAAACCTCATCGAAACCCCTTAAGTTACTAGCCTTACCAATCGCCTAAACCTTTCAAACAACACCAAGATCCAATAGTCATAGCCACCATCTTCTTCGACCAAACAACATCGTGACCCACTAACACCGTAGCCTTTTCGACCATTCATTTCCTTCAATCAAACCCAATACCGACCATAACTCTCACATGATTTTGAAAAAAATTCTAAATCAATTTTAATCAAATTAATCAATAGAAACAATCACGTTATTAGGGAAAATACCCATTGAAAACAATCCATAAAAAATATCCAACAACCCATAAAATACATAACCCATTTCATCTTCGTTATAAAAAAGAACCCATTTAAAAAAATATTTATATCAACAAAAACAATCACCTTCAATTCAAGATTTCAAAATCCCAAGTTCTTTCATGTTACTATTAATTTTGTAATGACAAAAACAAATAAAAATCAACAGATTGAATAAACTGTAGTTAGAAAACAAAGAGATGAAGAATCAAAGAAGAACACCTCTTTTTCACCGCCACTATTGCTTGAGAAGTTGGAGCTAGGAGATTGTTATTGGAGAGGGTGTGTTAGAGGTGTTCGGGATGTTTATTACAAGGAAATTCGGGAATATGACAAGCTTTATAAATCGATTCTTTAAAATCTTAGGCCTTATTGATGTGATGATGATGAATTATTTTCTTTAAAATATATGTTTGTATGTTACGGATTTCTTACTAGATTTGATGATAATAGCATACAATACATATAGATGATGAATGATCAAGTGTAAAAGATATAAAGCGAAGGAATGGATGAGTGACAAAAGGAGAATGCAAGCTGGTTTGTCTTTCTCCTTCTTTCTAAAAGCGACGAGGCATGGCAACAAAAATTCCTAAGCCCTTATTATTTGCTTAGTTGGGTGATTTTCCTAATACTATCGGTCGGAGTCCAGCTCAAGGCATAGGCCATTAAGGCCTATGCCTAAGGCCCTAATAGAAAGGAGGGCCCCAATTAAAATTTTGCCTAAACCTACACCCTAAAAGAATGAGATAAATTAAAAGTCTGTGACCTCTACTTTTACTTATAGAAAAGTTCGGAAAAATATTTATGAGTGAAACAATTTTTAGATCTCTAAATTTTTTTTATTATATTCCTTTCTTTCTCCAAACAATCGGGGATCTCTTATAAAACCTTTTCTAATTAGCTTGGCGAGAAAATTTTGAAGGTAATTTTTTAATTTATGCAAAAAAAATTATGTATATAAATCATATAATATTTTATTTTTTTCTCAAATTTCGTTTTATTTTCTCGAGTGATTCTCTCTAGGTTTACTTGATTAGGTGTGGCAAGCGGATATAATCGAGTGCCAAAGTTTCTTATTTGTTTATAATTATATTTTAATTTTATTATTTGAATAAAATGTCTACTAGAAAGTATGAATCTGGATATGAAAAACGTAAGAAAAAAAGAAAGGTAGAAGAACTAATTCAATCCCAAAAAGGTGCACTTGATAGATTTGTTACTAATATTAAACCTCAAATACTAGAAGAATAAGATAAAGATTTAAATGAAAATATAGTTGAAAATTATGAAGAAAAATTTGAAGATAACAATTCAAATTCACCAAAAAGTAATGAAGAATATGATGAAAATTTAGAAGATGATGTTTCAATCAATAAAAGTGAAAATATTAATGATTAAGATGCAACAATAATTAAAAATATTTACGATCCGACACAATGGAAAAATTTAGATTCAAAACTGATTGATTTATTAGTTGAGAAAGGTCCAATTAGAGAAATTTTAGATTTTTCAAGAGATAAAAACTCTAGACATTTTTCTACAATTCATTACATTCGAAAATTACCAAATGGAGAAAAACATGATAGAAAATGGCTAGTATATTCAAAAGAGTTAGATAAAGTGTTTTGTTATTGTTGTAAATTATTTAGTTTGAAATGAAATATTCAATTAGCAAATGAAGGGTGTGGAGATTGAAAAAATCTTAGTGCCAAACTTAAAAGTCATGAGACAAGTAATGAACATGCTATTAATATGAAAATTTGGGTTGATGCTCGGATGAGATTGCTTAAAAACAAAACAATTAATAAGCATTTACAAGAGAAAATAAATAAAGAGAAAGAGCATTAGAGGAATTTATTATTAAGAATTATTCGTTGTTGTAAAAGCTCTTTCAAAAAATAATTTGGTATTTCGTGGTACAAATGAGAAGATTTATTAGGACAATAATGGAAATTTTTTGAGTTTAATTGAAATGATTGCTTGAGTTTGACCCAATAATGCAAGAACACCTTAGACGTATTCAAAATGGAGATATTCATATGCATTATCTTGGTCATAATATATAAAATGAGTTGATAAATATTTTAGCATTAGAAATAAGAAATACGATTATCGGAAAAATCAAAGAATCAAAATATTTTTCGGTGATACTTGATTGTACTCCGGATGCAAGTCATCAAGAACAGATGTCTCTTATATTAAGATGTGTAGATATTTCGATAATTTCAATAAAAATAGAAGAGTATTTTATAGATTTTTTAAAAGTGGATGATACCTCTAGTGAAAGTCTTTTTAATGAACTTACAAGTAAGATAAAAACTCTTGAACTTGACGTAATTGATGTGAGAGGGCAAGGATATGATAATGGATCTAATATGAAAGGTAAACATCAAGGTGTACAAAAAAGATTATTAGATATAAATTCTAGAGCATTTTATATACCATGTGGTCATCACAATCTTAATTTAGTTCTTTATGATATGGCTAATTCATGTTCTAGTGCTATGACATTTTTGGAGTGACACAACATATATATTCATTATTTTCTTCTTCTACAAAAAGATGAAAAATTTTGCAAGATCATGTTTCTAATTTGACACTTAAGCCATTATCACAAACGCGTTGGGAAAGTCGTATTGAAAGTGTAAAAACAATTAGATTTCAAGCTCGGCAAATAAGAGATGCTTTATATCAATTAGCGAGAAACTAGTGAGGATCCTAAAACAAAAAGTGAAGTTATTTCTTTAGCAACATATGAGATTGAAAATTTTGAATTTCTATTAGGCATGATTATTTGGTATGATATGTTGTTTGCTTGTTAATACGATTAGTAAATATTTACAATCTAAAGATATGGATATTGCTCTTACAATAGACCACTTGAAAGGTCTTATTTCTTTTTTTTTTAAAAGCTATAGAGAAAATGGGTTTACATCTTCTATGTCCTTGGCTAAGGAAATTGCGGAGCAAATGAATATAGAACCAAAATTTCGTGAAAAGCGTACAATAAGAAGAAAGAAACAATTTGATGAGATTGAAAATGAAGACATGAAATTATCTATTGAAGAATCTTTTAGAATTAATCATTTTACATATTTAGTTAATCATGCGATTTCCTCTCTTCAAAATAGGTTTGAACAATTTAAAATATATGAAGATAATTTTGGTTTTCTTTATAGTGTAGAAAAATTAAAATCACTTGATGATGATATTTTGAAAAAAAATTGTTTAAATCTTGAAAACTTTCAAAAGCACAATATGCTTTACGATATTGATGGTTTAGATTTATTTTCAGAATTAAAAGTTTTAAAAGAAATTATAACTATGGAAATGAAAACACCACTTGTAGTAATAAATTTTATAAAAAAGGTAAATTCTTTTCCAAATGCATGGATAGCATATAGAATACTATTAACTATCCATGTTACCGTAACTTCTACTGAAAGAAGTTTTTAAAATTAAAATTAAGTAATTTGACTATATTATCAATTGAAAAAGATGTGCTTTGTAAACTTGAATACAAAAATTTAATTAGAGATTTTGCATCTCGGAAAGCAAGAAAAATAAATTTTAAATAATGTTTAATATTTATTTATTTTAAGAAAGAGTCTCTAAAATATTATTTTATATAGGGCCACATATATTATAGAGCCGACGCTACCGCTTATGCTCTGAATATACCCATTTCTTGATTGTAAAGAAGAACTTGAACTTGAATATAGGTTTGAGTTTTTGGATTATTTTATCATTAAGTTTATGTCTTTCACAAGTCTTTGAATACTATGTACGTGTCTATCACAGGTTTTTGAATACCGGTCAATAGAAAAGAGGGACTCAATTGCAAAAAAAAAAAAAAAAATGAAAAAAAGGTTAGGTACTTAAATTAAAAAAGAATTGAAGGTTCTAGTATCATTTTCTTTTAATCGAAAGTTTAGGATACTCAAGAACCAATTTCGAAAAAAAAAGGTACATTTTCTTTCCCTCCAAACATGGAGTGTTAAACTGTGGACGTCCTTTCCCTTCCCCGTTTTTCAAAAAATGGGGGAAAATGTCCCTTTCTTTGTTTCCTTGCGTTTCGCAATTTAACGCCATTTCTTACCAACCATGTCATCCAACATTAACTAACCAAACCTACAAACAAGTCAACATCATTTTCTTTAATCCCTTTCACACAAACATTATAAACCAGACCAGGCATAACCAAACACAAATAACTATTAGATCGAAGAAAATCTCTGCTTCGTTTTCATGGATTCTTCTTCTTCTTTCAGTCCTTATATTCTTTTATTTAACGCGCTCTCTCAAATACCAACTTGGCACTATTTGGTAGCTCTCTTGATCATCTCCATTACTTTTCTATACAATTTCTTGGAGATTCATTTCTTTGAAGATGCTTTCTTTAAATTTCAAGGCACTCCTATCACTTACAACCCCTCTTCTCCAATTTGTAATGCCATTCTTTCCAATTGTAAAATTCTCCACTCTAGGTAATATATGCAAACACAAACGTCTAAAGGGTATATTTTCAACCAATAACTGAATGCCGTGGTTGATGGGTTAACCCCATCTTTCTAATAACTGGTTGAATTTTGTTTGTGCTGCAGGTTTGTAGCCACGCCATGGCTATCAAGTCCTCATCTGCAGACTTCGTTTATGCAATTTTTTGGGAGGTCTCCGATTTTTAGCTATAGAAGGTAACAATGAACACTTTCTTAATTTGTTTCTGTCAGTTGACTATTTGCAATTTTATAGAAGTGGGTTATTCTTGTTTATTAAGTTTCTGTAATTATAATTTTTTGACTGAAAACTAGACTGCTTCAGCTTCATGATTGGTGAGCCAAATACATACGTAGACAAGAATCATGCATTCTTGTACCTGGAATCTGACATAAGAACTGCATCTAACAAAAACCTATGTACATGCAATTAGGCAAATGTTTTATACTTCCGATGGTGGAACCATAGCTTTGGATTGGCTGATGAAGTCTGATGGTACGTACACAGCTTTGGACATTAATAAATCTCTGGGTGTGTGTCAGTGTATTAATGAGCACTAACATATCGTATTCAATTCTCATGTATGCCCGAGATTTAGCCGCTTGTTCAACTTTCTTTTCATAGTGTCAGATCATTTTTCTACAGTTTCTGGAGGTGCTTTTCACATAAATGGTGCATTTCTTCCCATGAATAATGCTATTTCTCAAGATGAAACTACTCCTACTGTGGTTGTGGTTCCTGGCTTAGCAAGCGACTCTACTTCTAATGTTAGTTCTTTTCTTTCCTCTGCAATCATGACTCCAAATTTTCACAATTTCACGTGGTTGTTCTGTTAATTAGTTTTGTGTGTGTTGAGATATATACACATATGAGTTCTCCAAAATATCCCTCACTGGTTGACAATAAGTGAGTAGATTATATATAAGGGTGGATTCATTAGTACCCAATAGCTCAAGTTTTTGGATTGAAAGTGGTGTCCCTTCATGTATGTAAGCTCTTGCGTAAGCAGGCCTATGCAGACTCCCCAGTGTACATTAATTTGTTGGATGTGGAAATAGGAAAATGTCTATTGAATCTTGGAAAAAGTCTCATATACTTAGATGTGATGAGTAGATGTGCAAAGCTAGTTAACCCTTCTAGTCTTTTAAGGATCTTGGTTGATGATTCTTAAACTATGTCAAGAAATCAGGACTCCATAGCTGAATGCCTGAATCAGTAAAGGCCTAAAATATCTCATGGAGAGATGTTTCTTTCATTCTGAAGTTGAAATACTCTGGATCTTACGGCAGCAGTTTCTGCAATGTGCATGGAAACTTGCTGCTGTTGCTGGTCGCTCCAGCACAAATGAATCAAACAACTGGACTTCATCCAAAAATAATGTTCACTTATTAGTTATATTGCTTTCGTTTTACAAAGTTTGTCTTCTATCACACAATATTACATGCAGGACAAGCAGAAATTGTGACAATAGAGCCAGGACTTAATGCTTTAGAACATTGGGCAGTACCCCTTTATCCTGCTAAATGCTTTAACAACATAACAGAAACTTGATTTGTCTTTGTGTTGTTAAAGCAGCTTGATGAACTATATTCAAATATGAGGACATGAGTGCATGGTGCATATATTGTATGCATTATACAAGCATGCTTGTCTGTCTGTAAATATGCATGTGTGCGAATAGGATAATGGTGGAGCTCTTATTTGATTTGAATTGTAGTATCTAAAGAATCTTGCCTTCAACATGGCCAAACATGGGTGGAATGTTGTTGTTTGCAACCACCGAGGACTTGGAGGTGTTTCAATTACTGTAAGTTTCTTTCTTTCTTGATGAATAAATATGTAGAATTGAGAAATATAAAATATAATGTGGGATGACTATTGGTTTACTTGATAGTTCAAGCTAGTTGCTATACAGTCATCTTATACTTGTTTTTTGTCTCAGAAATGAATGCCATGTTGACAGAAATTATTTTCCTACTGTGATGTTTTTCTGGCTTGCATATCCAATTGCCTTGGCTGATTATTTGCATACCTTGATTCATTCTTAACTATGATCATGAGCGTTATCTCTAAATTTGTGCCTTTGTCTAATCTTTAACTTATCTTTTGTCAAATAAAGCTATCAAGACAAAATGTAAGCCTTGATTTCTTAAGGGTCTCATCTAAATTATATCCTACTATAAGAAGCAAGCTACTGGGAAATCATGGTCAGATCATGTAACATTTTTGGAAACCTGAAGATGCATAATGTAGCATGTGTGAGATGAACCAACTAGTGGCATTTGGCTACACCAAAACCTTATATGAGATTTAGTAATTGGTGTGGTATCGATCACTAATTGTCCAGACATATTAATGCCAGATAATATCAAGGTTTAATATGCGAGAGTTGTCTAAATGTGATGGTTATTTGGAAGCTGATTAATATGTAATATTTCTTTTTCTGGGACCTTCTGCTGTCAAAATATTCTTTACAATTTTGAAATTATCTTATTTGTTGCTGAATATAGGCATTTTCCTTTCATTATAAGCTTTGCAGTCTGATTGCTTTTACAATGCTGGATGGACAGAAGATTTACGGGCAGTCATTAAATATCTTCACAATGAGTACCCCAAGGCTCCTTTATTTGCAATTGGAACTAGCATTGGAGCCAATATTTTGGTACATTGGTTTCAGTTCATTTTATATTTTTGAGCCTTCTTTTAATGTTGGGATTTTTGTAGGACTGCATCACATGTGTTGTCTCTTGTACATGCTTCCTGTTTGCATACTTTTTAGCTTGCTGACAGTTGTTGTTTGGGCTATCGTTAGTTTTTCTTGCTGACTTATTCTTGTTTTTAAAGTTAGAATGTCAAAAAATTTGATTAGAGAGGTATTCTTCTTTGGGAATTAGAAGATTTTCCACAAGGAAAGAGATGCAAGAGTCTTTGAAGATTTGAATTTAGAGTAAACAGAGTTTTCAGCACTGTGGTTGGAGAATTCAGAAATTCCTTGCTTATCATTGTACGAAATTCTGCGATACAGGGCAGTTCCTAACTTCAAATCATAACCATCAGATTTGGAGGTTTACTGACAAGAATGATGGTAACAAGAAACGAAATGTTGTTCCTTGGATTCTACTGTCCATTCTCTGGCTCTTCAAGTTACTTTCTGTTGTTTTCAAATCTTGTGTCACTTTGCTAAGATGGGTCCTTTGTGTTTATTTTGTTACTCTATAGATCATCTGAATCTACAAGATGCCACTTTGGTGATCTTGTATGTACAACCAAGGCCAAACATACCACAAAATCGGGAAGATTTAGTACTTCACAACTCTTGCTTGCCATATAGCTGTAGTCTTGCTTCTGCTTTAGATTGTTCAACTGCATTTTGGTTGCCAAGTCTATCATAGAAGTGCAATCTACTTAGCATTTCTTGTACTTGAAATTTTTTCCTTTCGTATTCTTACTGGACAAGTTAGAATGAAATCCATTCGTTATCAGTGATCTGAACTAATTTACTGTTTAGATTGCTTACTATGCCATGGAAGAAAAGATCACTTTGTACTTAGTAAAAGAATCAAAATGAGCTTGTCTAATTTACTATGCAACAAGCTTCCTTGGTTGCTCATCGAGATGCTTGCAATATGATATTTCATCATTTCAGTATTGCTCTGTTGGATTCTGTAAAGTGAAGGACATCCGAGCTCGTTGTTGCTTTTAATTATTTTGGTTGTCGAACTATGACCAATGAACAGCTTGATGTTCAGTCCTCATGGGTTGTTATTAATTATTTGTTTTCAGGTGAAATATCTTGGGGAGGATGGAGCGAGGACGCCTGTTGCAGGGGCTGCAGCTGTTTGCAATCCATGGGATCTTTTGGTTGGTGTTTGCTGAATATAGTTACAATTCAAGTGGTTTAATTTTTCAAGTAGAATTAATATCATGAGGGCAGAAGTTTCTTGCTGTCAGCTGGCAATTCCTAAAGGAAAATGGCTATGCCATTATTGGAAGCTGTTGTCATGTGGTTTCTGATACCTTTTACCTTTACCTTTTCTTAATTTTTTTGCATAAACAGCATATAACTCATTCTCAACCAATGCCATGCAGTTTGATGATGCACAACATTCATCCCATTTCCTGTAGCAATCTAGGGAAAATTTTGCACTGGAATGGTAGAAAGGCTAGTAGTATAGTTGCACAGTTGGAACTTCACTTGGAGCAAGAGCTCTTTTTTTTCATTTGTGACCACGAAAAGTAAAATGGTAACATCAGAATATAATAGACTTGTTTGAAGTGAACTTGCGATCAGGTTAATGATACCCTTGCTTTCCAAGGTAGGTAAATGACATTCACTAAGATGAAATGTATGAGAAGCACACTTGTAAAAATAGAAAGGGAAGAAATCATATCGATCATTGTGTATTGGTTCCAATGAACGGTTGGCTCAATGATATAGCGAGATGTATCGATTGGTTGGATTTTTCTGCAATTAGCTTTTCAGTTTTTACATTTTTACGTCATTTCTGTTGGTTTTTTTTTTTTTTTCACATGATAGCTTCACGAAAAGTATTTCAGCTTTAATCTTGTTCTCAGCTACTCATAAGTTGATAAAATTTTGTTGTGGTGTGTATTCTTCACTTCTGATATCGTTTTTCCTTTTTCTCCCATTTTCTATGGACCAAACCCAATGTTCTAGCAGTTGTTATTTCAAATGCGATGGATACATCAATCTTAATCTTTCATCTTCTTTTGGCATCAAGATACGGTTTTGTTTCATTACGTAATCAGTAGTTTTGTCCTTCATTTGCAGATTGGAGACAGATTTATATGCCGCAGGCTGTTACAGAGAATCTATGACAGAGCTCTTACAATTGGCCTTCAAGGTTATGCACAATTGTATGTAATCAAATTCAAATAGAAGCTCTTATTTATTCTGTAAAGTTCCCATGAAAAATTTCCGCCTTTTCTTTCTGGTTGATCTTAGGATGAATTGAACCTTTTTTTAAAAAATATATATATATATATATATATACAGAAGCTAGAATAAACCCCAACCCAGGACATGCTCATAAAGAACATGTGGGAGCTACACTGCCAAAGTCGAGGATCTAGATGAATTTGAACATTAAATTTAGGCTTCAAGTATTTGTAGTTATCTGTCCATTTCTATTGTTTGACTTGATATGACTAGATTCCAAATGATCTGTGCAGACACGAGCCTCTCTATACTCGGCTTGCTAATTGGGAAGGCATTAAAAAGGTTGGTTTCTTATCAAGTTGTTGGTAATTTGCTTCAGTTCATTATAATTTTGCATTCTCTGTTTTTCAATTGAGTGCTATTTTTTAAATCACCAGTGTAACTCAGTATTTGTTATAATTTATAGCAAGATTCTAGTGAAAAAATAGAGGAAGCTATCTTCTTTTTGTGATCTTTTGCGTTTGATTCATAAAGCCTTCATATTAAATTTGACAATAAACTACATTTCAAAATATAACCATATAATAATTTAATGAACGCAGTATGCTTTTCTGAAAAAAAAAATAATAATAAATAAAAACCAGTTTGATGAACTATCCAACATACAAAATACTATTTATCAAAACATAACTTAACTTTGATTCGAAAGAGTCAAAGTTCAGATTTAAATTTTATTTTATATGCTGATTTTAAATTCAGATTATAGACCAAAGCTATTATAACCAAAAAATTCTTGTTACTAATTATATAACTATTAAGTCAATAAGCAAAGATTATATGTGCATGGGTGATCGTGTGTGTTCCTCTATCAAAAATAATAAATCATATTTTACATCTTAGGATGTAGCTTTCATGTCTTTACCTGTCAGTCATATTTTTCACTCTGATGCCAATGACTATCCAAATAGCAGAAATTTTCACTCTGTTTATATGGCTCTGACAGCATTAATAAATTTATCATATTTCTTCTCTCCTTCTAATGCTTTCTGTTTTATTTTCATCCTGGTCTTTCATAAGGCACGTTGTCTTCGGGATTATGACAACCATGCAACCTGCCATGTTGGCAAATTTGAGGTATTAATAACTGACATTTTCATCTCTCTCTTCTGGCTTGCTTGTCTTCTAAGCATCATATCATTTTTCAGACTGTGGATACGTACTATAGGAGGTGTAGCAGTGCAGCTTATGTTGGGAATGTATCTGTGCCACTACTCTGCATTAGTGCTCTGGATGATCCACTCTGCACTAGGGAAGCCATTCCTTGGGATGAATGCAGGTGGAGCCATCTTCTATGATACTGAAATAACTTGTGTCTTCAACCACCCACTTTTGTGCTATTCTGAGATTTGTTTTTTGTTTTTTGGCCATTTCATAGAGGAAACCCAAATATTGTGTTGGCTACACCACAGCATGGAGGACATCTAGCATTCTTTGAAGGATTAACTGCAACCAGTTTTTGGTACTTGTTACTTTTCTTATAGTAGAACACTAGTCTCTAATCTACTGACACTCAGATGATGTTATGGCTGTAAATGTTTGGAGTAGTTCATACTAAGAGATTTAGCCCTTTCCTAGATTTTTAAGTCCTGTCCTATCTTGGAAAGTGTCTTTCTTTAGGTAGAGAGATGGATAGACCTTACATTACATTTTAATTTGAGTAGTTGTGGTTTTTCCTTTCTTTTCCTTCGGTTCTCTCTTTCTCTATCTCTGTTTCTTCTAATTCGCAGGTGGATAAGGGCTGTAGATGAATTTCTTGGTGTTCTACGCTCTAGTCGATACATGCATGTACAAAAGGTGCACTTTATGTTAATTACTCCTACTTTGCTCATCAAACTAATAGCAAATTATTATTAGACATGCTTTGGTGATTGTAAGCTATTGTTTTTTAACCTGTCAAATTATGAAAGGATATAATCTTCAAGGTTATGTTAGATTAAGTTCTTGTTCTCTTATTTCCACGCTATTCAACATACTAACGTTTCTGCCAGCTTATGTTGTTTGTTCAATTTATCTGCAGAAGCAGACTTCTGGCCAGCGTTCAGTGCTGGATTCTGCAATTGATCAGCATCCACACTTACATGTTTCTGTAGATGGAATAGTAACTCCAGCGGGCAGTGAGGAAAAAAGAGATGAAATCGAAGGCACAAAAAAACTGCAGATGCTTAGTGAAGAAAAGACTAATGAGATGCTTTCAAATGCAGAACATGATCAGCTCTTTACAGAAGCAACGTCTGATTTCATGTCCAAGACTGCTCAAACCTCAGAAGAAGCTATAAACATCCAGGATGCTAAATCTCCTGAAAAAGCTTCAAACATCCAGGATCAGGATGCTAAATCTCCTGATATAACTGTTCCTGTTAGAAGATTCCTAAATCAGATTTCACAACAGAAAAGCATATCAATGTGGTTGCTTGCTTTCCTTGCCATCAAAACAAGTTGGCCCCTAGTAAGATCAGCCTTTAATTTCATTTTTAGAAAGAGGTCCAGAAAGTTCATGCCTGCAGCTTAGCAGGTAATTAGCTGCTAAAATGTCTGTCATTACCTGCCGAACTTGAGTATTATGCGCTGTAGGAAAAACAAAATGGAAATTAAGACAAAGTTATGTATCACAATCTTTGAACATAATTATTGCCGCCAATTTGGATAATTATATGAGATGGAACAAGATCGGTGTATATATATATATATGCATGTAGATATTCATGTATGAAGGTTCAGACTGCATACAAGGTAACATATATATATTTTTTTCCAGACTTTTTTTGCTTAGTTGGCTTTAAATTACAATACGATATAGGGCATATTTTGATGTTTGCACTTGGAAATTAACACCTACTTTAACAAAATTCTAAAAACTTTACTTTTGCTTTAGAGGAAGTTTCCGAGCTCAATTCATTTCATTGAGGTTAAGCAAAGATTAAGTCACGGTCTTTTTTTGTTTTGTTTTGTTTTTGTCTTTTTTGAAGTCATAAATTCTTGTGGTGCCATTTAATTAGGTATACTTAGCCATTATATTACCCTAACACGTCTAAATCGGTGCCACTCCCTGAACTATAACTTATTAAATGAGAATTAGTTTCCCACAATTTGAATTCTGAACCTTAAGTCTTTGAAAATTCATCTTTCAATTTTTAATTTTGGAGTGGATTTCTCTTAGCTATGTTTTATTTAAAATAAAATTTATCTTAATTTTTATAATGTTTAATGCATAAGTTAATGAATTTTACATGTGTAAAAGCATGTGAATGCTATAAAAAAAATTGTATTTTAGTCAATATAAAATGAAAAATAGTAAAAGTTACATAAAAATGATATTATTTTTTAAGTGTTCACGTGATTTTTATGTGCAATCCATCATCTCATCGATTAAATTTCACAAAAGAAATAACAGAAAAATTGATTTCAAATGAAATATAATTTAAGAAAATTAAATCTAAATTAGAAATTGAAAGATTAAATTTTAAATTGATAAAAGTTCGAAAAAGGGGTACCAATTTAAAACTTCTTTGAACCATCGAAATTCCCTTTCAAAAATTTTAAGTTGCGAGATAAAATGTAGATTTCACAACGAATCTACAAATCAATATAGAGGAACAAATATAGAGGAAGCTGTATTTAGTTTCAATGCATTCAAATGCAAGCGAAAACTAGTACGAGAACAAAATTATTAAAAAAAAAAAAAAAAGGTTTTTTTATTTTATTAAAACCCTCCTTTTTTTTGTTAAGACCTTCTATTCTTAAAGTTTTTTAGTTTTAAACTTATCCATCGGTGATCAACACATGATATTATAAATATAAAAAATATCATTTGTCAATTATTAATTGTGGCTTTATAACAAAAAAATTGAAACAATAAATTTTAAAAAATAAAGAATCTCAATCAAGCAATAATAATAATAATATTAATAAAAGATCTTAATAAAAAATTAAAAAAATATAGATTCTGGATATAGGTAAATCGAATAAACAAATAATGACCGATTCATTGCCTTGATAAAATGGCATGAACAATTTGATGTAATTAAGCTTAATTAAAAAGGAAAGGATACTATCTATTTCTTTTGTGCATTCTGTAGATTCGCACCTGATGATTTGTACACAAAAGAATGACTCATTCCCATATCTCGCAAAAACATGAACATCTGCCTCTGCCATGATACTAAGGACAAAGGGTTTTGGTAAGAGAATGACCTTTTTCATTATAAGGAATCAAACCACCCTAAGACAAATGTCACACTACTTTTCTAATGCCATTTCAGATTAGAGAATGCAATTTTCTTGATCCATTTTTAATCAAAGCATCTATCAGTTCTTATGAAAAGTACATCACCGTATTTTCAATTTGGAACAATATTCAAACCTTTGGAAACTAGGAAAGAACAAAGGCTAGTCCAAATTATGCATTTGTTTCTTTGTATTCTCAGCCTTCATAGCCGTTTAACTTGAAGATCTTTTCACAGATAATAAAGATATCATATGTTACTATTATTATTTTTTTCCCGTTAAAACTTTTTTACTTTAATATAAATATAATAAAGATCTTTTCAAATAGATCATTAAAGTTGTTGGCCTAATGATAAACAAACTGATCTTCAAATAAATTTTTTAATAATATATAAAATTCGAATTCTAACCGCATAGTTTGAATTTTGAAGTCTCACTTGTTAAAAAAGATTAAACTTTTTCTTGCTCTTATTCCGAATGTAGAATTCAAATTCGGAGTCTCACTTATTAAGAGGAGTTAATCTTTTTTCTTATTTTTATTTTAAATATGATAAAGGACGAGAATATCTAAAATAAAAAAAATCTCTCTAGATATTTGTAAAGAAAAAAAATTATTCAAATATGTGATCAGTTTATTTATAAATTGAATCTTTTTTGTATTAAACTTTTTTGTACTAAATGTTTCTAGAAACAGTATTTGATCATGTCTTCAAATCCATAAAGTTTATAAATATCTCCCACATTTTCAAGGATCCTCTCATGACCTGGAGATTTTGTTGAGCCAATCTGATCATGCCCCAAGTATGAGCTGGTGTGTATATATATGTTGGGATAAGGAACCGTGTTGACTTTGAATAATGTGAAAAGAAAAACAAAAAATAGTTGAAAAATATGTAGATATTGTCACTGATTTTTCTTCACCAAAAAGGTGCATTATCAACAACTATGATGTAGCTGTGTGAAAATTATCCAAAAAGTGATAGGATAATCAAATATATAATGATAGCTTCTTGCACTAATTTCTTCTCCAAAAAGTACAGGAATAGCTTGGTGATCACGTATCTACAAATGGCATAGGGTTCTTTTTCACACTTCAAATGTTCGTTTTATGCGTTTTGAAACTTCAGACAATTGGAAAATAGACAAGAACTAGCAATTTCCCAAATTTGATAATAAATATTTACAATTTGACAAATTTTTTGGACTTATTGGTGAGTAATATATATATATATATATATATATATATATATATATATGGCGATCATAGATTAATTGTTCTAGAAGAAAAATACTTCCTGATATTTTAATTATAAATCATCGATAAATTGTTTCTACAAGACAAAATGTATGAAAACAATTGTTTGCTTGATGATGAAAACAACATCATCACCAAATAAGAAATTAAGTTGTTAATCATCAAATCTATTGTATCAAAAAATATATAAATTTGTATATTGCATTTTGTTCGTGATAAGTATTCTCATTCAGAATCAAGTCATTATTATTATTATTTTATTCAACGATAAGAGGTATTATTAAGTGAATTTATCGATCAATGGAAACTAAATTTTATTTTCAGAAAATTAATATATTCGATCGCACCGTAATTGGTTACCTTAATTAATATCATTTATTAATCATATTCTAAGAATTAATTAGGCCTTTGGATGGAGAGTACCACATCCACATTCTACACTCCACATTGATAATTAAGTCCGGAAAATGGTCTGCATGTTGAATGACTCTAAGCTCTGCTGCTAACCCACAAGGAAATCATCGCCGCACATTTAAGGGATCCTGTCCTTCACAGTAGATTTTTAGGGTTTATCAAATTAGTCATGTTTTTTGCTTTGTGTCTCCAAAAGGTTGCCATATGTCAACTTCATGTATATAGTTCTAGGGTTAGTGTTAGTCATGGGGGATTGTCTTATTAAGCAAATTTATCTGCCCACATGTCTGCATATACAAGACATTGAAGGTTATAATTTAAGCATCTAACTAACTAACTATGCCTCCATCTTTCTTTATGTTTTTTGAGTCCCAAAAAATGTTTTCTTGGACTCATTCAAACGGATTTTTCAATGCAGAGACTAAACAAATATTTATTCCTTGAAGGCAACTAGCTAGCTCAAATCCTTGTACCACAATAATATTCTTTTTATCCTATTAATTTAATTTCTGTAGAATGGGATATTGGATGGGAAACAAGAAGCAGCAACTTGCAATGAAAAGTATATACGTAAAGTACAAACCACTACATATATTAGAGACAAGAAAACCAAGACACGAATGGTGAATTAATAAATGATCATACTAACATACGTATTTCTCAGCTGTTTCCTCATACATCCAAAACCTGTCACCAGTTTCCTTAATTACCCGGTAATTAAGCTACATGTTATGCTAAAAAGATGGAAAAGTGTTTTCCGCCAACGTTGAAGTTTCTATTATAACTTTTACTTCTGCTGGTCCACATGCATTGATGGCTGATGGATTAGGGAGTGATTGTGGAAATTGTAGTTGGACTTGACGTTCACATACCGGTCAAGAGGGTTGGAGTGTTTGTCTAGAAGTAGACAAAAAATATGGTGGAATGTTCCTATTTTTTGCCCTAAGAATCGATCCAGCTGTAATTAAAGAGATTTGCTCAATTCTTTGTTTTTTTTTTTTTTTTTGAATATTAGAGCTGATATTTAGAAGAATTTATTAAATTTAATACGTAAAGCCAATGTAAAAGATATAGTATTTCTTTAAAATCATTCGAAAAGTTATTTAAAATCATTCAGAAAGTTATTTAATCTTAATTGATGCACAAACTAATTTATTAATATAAAAAAGAGAAATATTACGATTTTTGGTAGACATGAAGGATCCATGAGCAATGTGAACCCTTATAGATGTATCCACTAATGAAGGAGTCTATGACTCTTTTGATAGAGAAGATCCCTTGACTTCTTTCGTAATTAATTTTTCGATCCGAGAATAAAGATAACGGTAAGAAAATTTGTAAGAGACAAAGAATGTATGTATATATGTTTGAACTATACTTTTCCATTATATTATAATCTTGTGAATAATTCCAATTATAAGTTGCACATTCAAGATTTGTGAGGTTGTTAGGGTTGCAATTGTAGAAAGGTGTGATAGATTCAACATTAAATTGTGAATTACCATTTAATTTCATGCCAAAATGTGGAAGAGTGGTTCCAAAAATTGCATTGATTTAACATTGATATATCAAGTATTGAATGACATGTAGAGTCAAGTATGATCTAAATACATAAAAGTGTACATATACGGATGGAAAGTTTAGTACATATTTCTGAAAGTATTGTCCAAATTCAACTCCCTTTTCAACCTACAGTAAAAAAAGAAATCTAAGACAAGATTTTAAGCAAGAAAATTAACAACACTTGCCTATGGCATCTAGAAAAAAGAAAGAAAGGACAAGTCGTCGAAGACGGTAGGTTTGGATTCCCCATTTTCCCCGCTGTTTTTTGTCGATTTCATGATGTCTTGTATTGCAACTTCCGAACTACCAAATTAGACCCTCAAAAAACAACTTCATTTCCCATAGTATTTTCAAAGCATCCCATTAGACAAACACAAAAGTTTCGAAATGTTTTCTTGACCTATGACACCAATTCTTTGAGAATAAAAAGATACCCATCTTCTGTCTCTCCCTTCCCTATTGAAGGGGGAAAAAAAAAGATCCCTCCTATCTCTCATCTCTCTAGTCTTTGGTCCTATTCACATGTGATGACACATTGGAATATATATGATTTATTCCAATGCCCACATTTCTTCCATAAAAACTCAACTACGATCATCTTCTCTGTCTTGTCCTAAATTTACTTTTCATCTTGCAATATTTCTCTCCTTTATTTCTCTCTTACTTTGATGGAAGACACAGAAGAGGAGGAAAATTTGAATCTTAGCCTAGCAATTGTTACAGACTCCAAAGGTGATGACATGAAAAGGAAGAGAAAGAGATCAAGGGCAGATGTTTTGAAACCTTTGATGAATACCTATGAGGGTTGCAGTGAGGGGAAGATATTTAGGCTACTCCAAATGAGGGAACAAATGATAAAACTAGACCATAAGAGGAAAGGCGTTGTTGAAGAAAATGGCAAAGGGCTTCATTTGATTCACTTGCTTCTCATAACTGCCACAGCAGTTGACGAGAACAATGTAGGCTCAGCCTTGGAGAATCTAACAGAACTGTATCAAAGTGTCTCCTTAACCGGTGATTCGGTGCAAAGGGTTGTTGCTTATTTTGCTGATGGATTGGCTGCAAGGCTCCTCACCAGGGAATCTCCCTTCTATGACATGATCATGAAGGTACCAACATGTGAAGAAGAGTTCTTGGCATTCACAGATCTTTACAGGGTGTCTCCTTATTACCAGTTTGCTCATTTTACGGCAAACCAGGCCATCCTTGAGGTCTATGAGAAGGAAGAAGTGAATAACAACAGTGCATTGCATGTTATTGATTTTGATGTCTCCTATGGCTTTCAATGGCCTTCTCTAATACAGTCTCTCTCCGAAAAGGCCAGCAGTGGCAACCGAATTTCACTCCAAATAACCGGTTTCGGAAGAAGTATAGAAGAATTGCAAGAAACTGAGAGTAGATTAGTTAGCTTTGCGAAAGGGTTTCGGAATCTGGTCTTTGAGTTTCAAGGGTTGTTAAGAGGGTCCAACCTCATCAACCTAAGGAAAAAGAAAAATGAAACAGTTGCTGTGAATTTAGTCTTTCATTTGAATACTCTGAATGATTCTTTGAAGATATCTGACACATTGAAATCAGTACATTCAATTAACCCCTCCATTGTCGTCTTGGTGGAGCAAGAAGGTAGCAGAAGTCCAAGAAGCTTTCTATCAAGATTCATGGAGTCTTTACACTATTTTGCAGCCATGTTTGATTCTTTAGATGATTGTCTTCCTCTAGAAAGCCCAGAGAGATTAAGCATTGAGAAGAATCATCTTGGTAAGGAGATCAAAAGCATGTTCAACTATGACAAAGATGATGCAAACTGTCCAAGATATGACAAGATGGAAACTTGGAAAGGAAGGATGGAGGGTCATGGGTTTGCAGGTATTAAACTTAGCTCCAAGTCTTTGATACAAGCCAAGCTTCTTTTGAAAATCAGAACCCATTATCGTCCAATTCAATTTGATGGAGAAAGTGGTGGTGGGTTTAAAGTTTTTGAAAGAGATGATGGGAAAGCTATTTCTTTAGGATGGCAAGATAGATGTTTAATTGCTGCTTCTGCATGGCATTGTGTATGATAGTTACTATATTATTCCAATTTTCAGCTAACATATTCATGATTTTTGTAACTTCAATGAAATAAATTAAAGATCTACTTACCATGATCATGTTCTTTGTTCTAATTAGATTAATGATAATTTTAATCTTGCTAGCTAGCCTACTCAGTACATAATGTTCACCATCATTAATTTCTCAATAAATAATTGTCCATTCTTAAAAGTTATGATTTGGATAATGGGAATTGATTGTCCCTTCAACTTGATACATAATGACACCTATATATTTTGAGGATCTCTCATGGGATTGGAAAATATAAAGTGAAAATGGATGCCTTCAATATGATTGTCATCAATCCATTTTGGAGTGAACTTCACTTTCCCGCAAACTTCAAACTTCTGATAGCGTCTTTTTACCGACTCGTAAAAGATGCTCAGAAGAGTGAACAATACATATTCTAAAAAATTTATTATTATTAGTATTCATTGGCGTCCCATAAGTTGTTTTATTTATTTATTATTTTTTTTTGTACTAAACAAGTTATTGGTTTAATGGTAAACGAACTAATCTTTAAGCAAATTTTCTACCAATATACAAGATTTGATTTTTGGGGTGGCACTTGTTTGAAGGGGTTAAATCTTGTTCGTTCCAGTCAAGAACAAAAGTAGTCCTACACTATAAAAAAAATTATCAAATAGTAATAGAATTTAGCGATGAAAATTAATGCATTCGTTATCGAGGTGGAGGACCTAGAGATGGAATAACAATGATTTAGTGACGGATAGTTAGCAACGGAAATCAATCGTCACTAAATTTGACGGTACAATATTTTCGAGTGTTTTAAAAAGGATTTAGCAACAAATTTATTAGAAAAAATAGCGACGGAATTGTTAATCTATTGCTACTTTTAATGTCTAGATTAAGCGATGGAATATTCATTGCTAAAAAAATCCCTTGCAAATTAGCGAGTGGATATGTCCATCACTAAAAGTGAAAAATTAAGTGACTTTTGAAATTCAAAAGCCGCTCAATTAGCGACGAATCAACAATGATATCGCATCGATCACCGATTTAATCCCTAAATCCCTAATTTCCATATTATTCCCTTATTTTCCTCTTCTAATCGTTAGCCAATCCCCTACCCAAAACCACTACAAAACTCTACTCCTCCATTTCTCATCAATCCACACCCACTCTAAACTCTTTTCTCTCTAAAAAAACTCAATTTTCCTTCTTTCCTCTCTGGTTCTTCCTTGTCCGAATTAGATATGCTCTCTCTCTCTCTCTCTCTCTCTCTCTCGTTTCTTAAAAATTAGGTATTTTTATAATTGTTAGGTTAATTTTGATTAATTGATTGATTTATAATTTTATATAGTTTTAATTGTTAATTTATTAGAATTAATTTGTTAAATTGTTTTTTTAATTAATTGTTAGGTTAATTTATTAATTAATTATGATTTAAATTTAATTAAGTTTGAATTAGGGTTAATTTGATTTAGGTTTAAATTAAAATTAATTAAGTTAATTTGATTTAGGTTTAATTAATTAATTAGGTTAATTTTGATTAATTGGTTGATTTATAATTTTGTATAGTTTTAATTTTTAATTTATTAGAAATAATTTGTTAAATTGTTACTTTTTTGTTAATTATTAGGTTAATTTGTTGACTAATTATGATTTAAATTTAATTAGGTTTCAATTAGAGTTAATTTCATTTAGGTTTAAATTTATGTAGGTGTGAATTAGAATTAATTAAGTTAATTTGATTTAGATTTAATTAATGAATTAGGTTAATTTTGATTAATTGGTTGATTTATAATTTTGTATAGTTTTAATTATTAATTTTTTAAATTGTTATTTTTTATTAATTGTTAGGTTAATTTGTTAATTAATTGTGATTTAAATTTAATTAGATTTGAATTCGAGTTGATTTGATTTGAAAAACACAAATACCTAGCATGCATACCTCCCAAAACTATCATCAATAATTGCCATTTCTATCTTCATAGCCTCCCATTGCCAAAGCCCTAGTCAAAAACAAACACCAAGTCACCCAAACACCACCAAACCTCTAGCAATACCCCCATGTCACAATCACAAAAAAAAGCTCCATTTTCACTCAAGCACCCCTTACGACCACCAAGCCATCGAATCCCCTTTCATCCTTGCAAACTTTGACCTAAAAAAAATTACAAAGAACTTGATGTTGTTCCCTTATCTCACCTCACCGAACTTGCCACACTCGACACCCATAAAGCCAACAAACCCAAATTGACCAAATCTTTGTTAGGAACTAGATTGACGCCTGGTAGCACCGAATCTACCTTAGGGGTTGATGAAGAGAAAATCGTACATTGCCATATCATTTTGGCTAAGAGAAGGGTCGTGGAAGTAAATGCTTACACTTACGAGGAGAGTTTGTAAATGGAACAGAGGTAGAGGAACATTGCCTTATCACTTTGGCTAAGAGAAGGGTCGTGGAAGTAAATGCTTACATTTATGACGAAAGTTTGTAAATGGAATAAAGGTAGAGGAAAGAGAAGTTTGTGTAATGGTGGTGAGGTTTTAAAAACGATAGAGGCAAAGAAAAAAGAGGAGTTAGGAAGGTATATAAGGTTTTGATTTTGTTTTAATTTAGGTTTGGGTTTGAATATTTGCACAAGGGTTGATGTTATTTACTATTGATAAAAATGAAAAGGGGTGGGGAAGGGCTAAATATGTCTAGCCCATATAATGGGAGAAAGTGGCTGGATTTGTGAGAGAGGGTAGACATGTCCAGCCTACGTAGTGTGAGAAGAGGCCGGAACCCCTAAAAAAAAAAAGAATAAAGGTTGGCATGTCCAGCAGGCAAGCCTAGTAGCCTCCGATCCATTCACAAGAAAAGGCTCAATGTTTTCTAATTTCATTTTTTATGTTTAATTTAAATTTAATATTTGAATTTCTTTTAATTTATTTAATTAATATAATTTTGAATTTTATTTCAGTAAATAAAATAGGTGATTAATGGGTAGGCGAATTGTTGAGTTTCCTAATTCTTAAGGACTCACGAAGATTTTTCATTAAAATGTCAATAATTAGATTAATAGTTAATAGGTGAACGAATTATTGAATCTCTTAATTCTTAGGAATTGATGACGGTTCTCCATCAACAAAATTAATTAAAATTCCTAGCTAAGTATTTTATCTGATAGGGACTCGTTGTTAACAATAATAATTAGCTACGTAAGTTTGAATTAGAATTAATTAAGTTAATTTGATTTAGGTTTAAATTAGTTAGGTTAATTTTTATTAATTTTTTCATTTTTAATTTTATTCATATTGAAAATTGTTAACTTGTTGTTATTTTAAATTTAATTAGGTTCGAATTATGGATAATTTAATTATATTAATTTGAATTAGGGTTAAATTAATTAGGTTAATTGTGATTAATTTGTTGATTTTTAATTTTATTTACGTTTTAATTTGTTAAGTACTTGTTATTTAAAATTAAAGTAGAATCGAATTAGAGTAAATTTAATTATTTTGTATATAATTATTGAAGTGTGTTGAGATAGGTCACGAGCATATTGAATCTAAAGGGCTAGAGAACCCCTAAGAATTGAGGAGAAATAAGGTTAGTTCAATATTCTGCGATGGAGTTGGGAGGACAAGTTTAAAATTTAATTTCAAAGGATTATCCAAGATAAATGTCGAGTCCGGTGTGTTTAAAATAAGTTGGTTAATTTAAAAAATTTGCATGTCTCCTTGATGCAAGTTACGCTATGGGAGCCGGTAACTCGAGTCCCTCCAATCGACACCCCCATAACCCAAGAGACAAACTTTCCTCTTGATGCCTAAAGGCTGGAAGATGATGGAAGAGATGAAAATGATGAGGACTAGTTTTTTTTTCTGTACATTTGAAAATATTCATATATTAATTTTATTTTAATTATATTTGATTAAATAATATTTTATGTTATAATAAAGTGTTATTTATAGTTTATTATTATTATTATTAACATTAAAAGTATATTATTTCTCAAAAAAATTTATGACGGCAATTAGCGACGACTTAAAAAACGATCGCTAAATCAACGATGGTTTTGTCGTTTTTAAATACGAGTTTAAGGTAACTATTGAATTCTTTTAGTGACGGACTACTTTATCTATCGCTAAAAAAATAGCGATGAACATTTTAGTTTGGGAAAAATTTACTTGCTAGTTCGTCACTAAAACGTTTTTAACGGCGGAATAATTAAGAATAGTACTAGCATCTCTCACACACGTTTATTGCACATGTTTTTATTTTTTTATTTACTTATTCTAACTCGTCAAGGCTAGTTAAGGAATTTTAGCTTACGCAGTTAGTTAGTCGATTTCAAATGTCGGTTTGTTACCATTTTATATATAATGTAAAAACGAGAGAAAGAACACGTGACTTTTAATTCTTCTCTTTCTCTCAAATCTTGTTATGGTATCGAGCAAATTCTTTCTCATGTTTTCTTTTTTTGAATTTTCTTTCTAAGAAACCAAACACTCGGATTTTCTTCTATCTTTGCGATTCATTATGGTCGCATATTTTGTTAATTCTTTTCCAAATTTTATGAGTTTGAGACTTGAAGAATAGATGTTTAGTCCTTATTTTCTTCATGATAGTGATAATCCTTCTCTCATACTTGGTTTTCCCTCTATTTATTGATTCCAATTATCATTCTTAGCATCGATCGAGTGAGGATGTCGCTTCTCTCTAAAAATAAGTTACACTTCATTAATGGAACCATTAAAGCTTCGGAAAAATCCGATCCTCTATATCTAGCACGGGAGAGATACAACACAATGGTGTTGTCCCGGCTTCTTCGATCTCTTTCTCTTGAGATTACACAAAGCATCATTTGGTTGAACACTGCATTGGAGGTTTGGACAGATTTGCATGATCGATTCTCCCATGGAGACTATTTCGAATTGCGAGCTTCAAGATGAGATATATTCCTATAACCAAGGTTTACTTCCGTTACTCAATACTTCACTCATTTAAAAATATTATTGGATGACTTTTCGAATCTAAGAAGCATACCTCAATGCATTTGTAATCCTCAATGTTTTTGTAAAACTTCTAAGAAGATTAGAAATTTTTAGAACTGTGATTATGTGATCGGATTCTTGAAAGGTTTAAATGATAATTTTACAACCGTGAGGTCTTAAATATTGTTAATGGACCATCTTCCATCCATTAATAAGGTTTTTGATATGGTCATTCAACATGAATGACAATTGAATGTAGGATTTGGTGCACAAAGTAATACCGGCAACACAAATCCTAGTATTGTTTTCTTCAATAAGTCTCGTTTCTCGGCATGGTGGTAGAAGTTTCTCTCCTTCTAGCAAGGTTGGTTCTTCTAGAAGAAGTAGTTTTTCTAGTTAAAGGAAGTCAATTTACAATGGCAATAGGAAATCCAAACTTCAATGTGTTTTTTGTGATCTTCAAGGACATACTATGGATAGATGCTATAAAAAACATGGATATCCACCGAGTTATAAATTGTCCGCCAAACCTCAAGTCTGGATTTAATAGATTGGCTAATCCGGTTGAGATTTGTGATGATGTGTTACATGAAGTCGATAATCCTTCTATTAGTATGTTTTCCAACAATCATTCTACCGCTTACGGTTCCGTGTAACCTTCTTTTACTACGGAATAGTAGTATAAACTTATAGCTCTCATTCAACCTCACTCATAATCCTCTACTTCCATTGATGTTAATGCCTTGTCTAGTAATTTCTCCTTTATATCGGGTACTTATAGTTCCTTTTGTGGTTCCGTCATCGTTTCTTCAACTTTGTGGATATTAGATACCGATACTATAGACCATATAATTTGTTTGTTAAAATTCTTTCATACATACACCCCTGTTTCTCATATTTATGTCAAATTGCCTAATGGTCAACAAGTTGTAGCTACACATGTTGGCACAGCTTAAGGTAAATGATAAACTCATCTTATATAATGCTCTTTTTGTTCCTAGTTTTTCTTTCTATCTTATTTTAGTAAGTCGATTAACCAAAATTTCCAAATGCTCTTTGATATTCCATTATGATTCTTGTGTTTAAGGGTGTCATTCGATTTTTCGGTTCGATTTTGATGTTTTTTTTTTTTTGATTTTTTGGTTAACTAAATTGGCTAAAACAAAAACCAAAATTGAACAGAATTAAGGTTTTATTTTTTTTATTTTTGATTAAAAATCAATTTTTTTTTTTTTTTACATTTTTCTTCTAAAAACTGAATTATTTTTCTTTTAAAAAATATCAAATTGCATAATCAAAGATTGCATATTTCACATTTGATTTTATAAGAAAATTGTGTAAGATTATTATTATTTTTCTATACTCAATTTGTTTCTATTTATATTATAAACTAAATTAGTTGGGCTTCTCATTATTTTTTTAATCACGCTATAATTGGTTTTTTGTTAATTTTTTATATTCTTTTTAATCTACATATTTTGTGCATATTTTATTATTGTATAGATAATATGAAAAATTCAATTTTTAATTTATGTTTAATATAAGCATAAAAATTAAAAAGAGTGAACAAATTATTTTTGTTAGTTGTTATTAATACTACTATAGTATTATTATAAATGCATCGACTTCGGGTCAATTTTTTGAGAGGATATTTTTGTGTCAATTTTAATACAAGGAGACAATTTTTTTTTTTCATGAGGTTTTAGGATTCACCCACACATGAACTTGTGTATTTATAAAGAATTACTTTATCATAATTTTTTTTATTTGTTTGTGAGTCAATATAATATAATCAATTATTTTATTATTTCTATAAATAATTATTGAAAAATATTTTTATTTTACGTAGAAAAAAATCATTAAAGCTATTTTTTTTTAGTTAAACCCATAGGTGCCTCTTTTATTTAAAAAAAAAAAAGAAAAACTAATTCGGTTTTCAATGAAACCGACTTTGAAAAAAAAACGAACCGAAATAATTTTTGTTTTTGATTTTGGTTTTTTTAAAACTTTTTTTTAAAAAATTGAACCAAAATTGCTAATTCGGTCGGTTCGGTTTTAATCGAATAATGCCCACCCCTACTTGTGTTATACAAGATCATCACATGAAGAAGATAATTGGTACAGTTGAGTAGAAACAAGGCTTATATCGGATGACAACTCCAATCCCTTCAACTGATCATCATTTTGTTTCCAGTTCAAATGCTAGTAATTCTAATGTCTAAGCATTATAGGTTAAGTCACCTTTCCAATTCTAGACTAACTCGCTTTGCATTTCTTTTATAAAGATGTTCTTGTCAACATCTTTAATACACCTTGTGACATTTGCCATTATGCAAAACAAAAACGTCTTCTTTTTCATATCAGCTTTTCTTGTTCTACAAAATGCTTTAAACTCATTCATGTTGATATATGGAGGCCCATGG